CGACATTATTTTGGGAATGCCTTGGCTTGCAAGTGCGGATCATACGGTCAACTTCCACGGGCAGACTCTTACCGTTCGCGATGCTTTCGACGCCGAAGTACCATGTACTATTCCTCTTCCGCACCCTTCGATTCGGTGCCAAGTGGTAACGACCAAGTCATTCTGCGCTACTTGTGCTTACGAGCAGCCCGACGAAATCGGCCTATGCTTCCTATGGACCGTCGCGGTAGCCGACTCTTCACCCACAGACTTGTCTTCGGGACCCCGTGTGGAGAGTTGCTGGACGGGTTCGCCGACATCTTTGAGTCACCTACCCGTGTGGTGCCGGATCGGCCGATCTCTCACGAGATCATTCTCGAGGCCGGTGTCGTGCCGCCGAAAGGTTGTATTTATCGCATAAGCGAGGAGGAGCTTACGGTCCTCCGCGCGCAACTCGATGACTTGTTGGACAAGGGCTGGATCCGCCCTAGTAGCTCTCCATACGGAGCGTCAGTTCTCTTCGTACGGGAGAAGAACAAGGATCTACGATTGTGCATCGACTACTGCAAGCTCAATGCGCAAACCGTCAAGAATGCGGGGCCTCTTTCTCGCATCAACGATCTTCTTGAGCGATTGGGCGGCGCAAAGTACTTTTCAAAGTTGGATTTGAAGTCGGGATATCATCAAATCTAAATCCGACCGAACGATCGCTACAAATCCGCGTTCAAGATGCGGTATGGGCATTTTGAGTGGGTGGTCATGCCTTTTGGCCTCACCAACGCCCCGATGACCTTTCAAGCAACAATGATCAACGAGTTTCGTGCAATGTTGGACCGATTCGTGTTGGTCTACTTAGACGCCATTCTCGTCTATAGCCGGACATTGGAGGATCATCTCGGGCACCTTCGACGAGTGTTGGAGACGCTCCGCCGCGCCAAGTACAAAGTCAATCGCGACAAGTGCGAATTTGTCCGGCTAGCGCTGGAATACTTGGGCCATTTTGTCACACTGGAGGGCATCAGTCCGCTATCGGACAAGATTCTAGCCATCCAAGAGTGGCCGGAGCCGCAGAACGTCACAGATGTTCGTTCATTCCTTGGCCTTGCCAGCTACTACCAACGTTTTATCAAGGGATACTCGAAGATCGCGGCCCACTTGACCAAGCTTCAATGAGAGGATCGACCCTTTGACTTCGGAGAGGATGCGCGGGAATCATTTTTGGCTCTCAAAGCCGCGCTATTATCTGCGGAGGTCTTGCGCATATACGATCCGCTATTGCCAACATGCGTCACTATGGATGAGTCCGACTATGGCATTGGTGTCGTCCTCGAGCAATGCGATGGCGTGGACTGGCACCCGGTCGAGTACTTTAGCAAGAAAGTGTCCGTCGTGCACTCCATTGATGATGCATGCAAGAAGGAGCTCCTCGCCTTCGTCCACGCGCTCAAGCGGAGGCGGCACTTCCTCCTTGGTCGAAGTCAGTTCCGATGGGTAACTGACAACAATCCGTTGGTCTTCTACAAGACCCAAGACACCATCAATAGCACCATCGCCTGTTGGATGGCTTTCATCGACTCATTCGACTTCTTTCCCGATCATATTCCCGGGAAGTCTAACCGTTTTGCGGATGATCTTTCACGGCGTCCGGATCATTGTACCATAGTCTACTCGACCTTCTAGATCGACGACGACTTGCGGGACAGCTTCATCCGCGGCTACCAAGCTGACCCCGAGTTTCGCGACAAGTACGCGAATTGCTCATCTCCTAATCCGATGCCTTCTCACTACCGGATCCAAGAGGGGTACTTGCTTGTCCATACGCGGGGGAAGGACCTTCTTTGCGTACCGACTGACTCTCACTTGCGCACGCGGCTTCTTGGTGAGCTCCACGATGCTCCTGCCACCAGACACTTTGGAGTCAACCGCACTATTGGCCGACTTCGCGAGCGATTTTGGTGGCCCCGCCTTCGCGACGACGTCACATGCTATTACGAATCATGCGAGGTTTGTCGACGTTGCAAATCCCCCTGCAACCATCGTCCGTACGGCGAGTTGCGACCATTACCGGTCCCCTTGCGCCGAAGGGAAGCGATTGCCATGGACATTACCGGGCCATTCCCCAAGCACAAGACCAGTGTGGATGGGATTCTCACGGTGGTCGACCGACTCACCAAGTTTGCCATGTATTTGCCTTGCTGCTATCATGCCAAGGCACCGGAGTTGGCCAAGGTTCTTTACGCCGGTTGGATTCGAACCAAGGGTTACCCCAAGGAAATCGTCTGCGACCGCGACACTCGGTTCATGTCCGATTTTTGGTTGGCCCTCATCAAACGATGGGGCTCATCTCTCAAGCCAAGTTCGGCTCGCCACCCCCAAACCGATGGCCAAACGGAGAGGGTGCATCAGACCGCACAGGTTCCCCTTCACACTCTCATCCGTACCGACCAAAAGGATTGGGTTGAGCGGCTGCCGGATGTCGAGTTGGCATACAACTCGTCCATCCACCCGGCTATCGGGATGTCGCCCTTCGAATTCGAGCACGGCTCGCCGGTCACTTCTTCGTTGGACACAATCATTCCACGAACGGCCGAGAGTGACGACCATCTTTTTTTCTTGCGTCGGATGCAAGAGCTACTTGTCAAGGCATGCCACCAGATGGCCAAGACGCAGCAACGCATGAGCCAACAGGCCAATCGCCAGCGTCTTCCTTGCCCGTTCCACGCCGGTGATCTCGTTTGGGTTTCCGCCGCGAATTCAGCCTTGAACAACCCGCAAGCTCCTCCCGAAATGGATGGGGCCTTGGTCGATCGTGGCACCCGCTGGGGATGCACTTGAAGGACCTTCCTTCACCATTCAAGTGCCCGCTCACTTGCCCATCTAACCGGTCTTTCATTGCTCCAAGTTGGCTCTTTACACGCCAACGGAACATGACGATTTTCCCAGGCGACGATGGCAAGACCCACCCTCTATGGACGGTTTTCAAGAGGTCAGCGACATCATCTCCCAGCGGCGCTACGGCAACAGGTCGATCGTGGCACCCACTGGGTATGCACCCGAAGGACCTTCCTTCACCATTCAGGTGCCCGCCCACTTGCCCGTCTACCCGATCTTTCATTGCTCAAAGTTGGCTCTTTACATGCCAGTGGAACATGACGATTTTCCCGGGCGACGATCACAAGACCCACCCTCTATGGACGGTTTTCAAGAGGTCGGCGACATCATCTCCCAGTGGCTCTACGGCAACAGGTCAACCGAGTATTTGGTACACTTCGCGTACTGCAGTCACAGAGCTGACCGCTGGTTGACCCGTGCAGAACTCCAAGCAACACCTCCAGATGTTCTCGCACGCTACGAATGCAAGATGTAAGGCAAGCCGGTATCTTCGGCTCCACGTCGCATCCGCATCCACGTTCCACCTTCAGATCGTCAGCTTCGCCCTCGCCCCGGCTTGACTTCATAAGGAGGGGGGGGTGTTACATGCTGCACCTGCAACAGGCTGCACGGGCCCCCTTTCAGGCCCGTGACGTTTTCAGGCCAAAACCCTGAAAACAAGGGCCTACAGGCCCCGTGTCATTTCAGCCTGAAAGCCTGAAAACAAGGGCCTACAGGCCCTGTGTTGTTTCAGGCTAAATCAGGGCCTTTCCGGCCCTGAGTGTTTTCAGCCTGAAACTGACGGCCATTTTCAGGCCCTCATCAGCTCGACCCGCCCTGAAACTCAGGCAACAAACCAGGGTTTTAGCACAGGCCCCTTCACACCTTGTGATGAGCATGATGTGTGTTTGGTCAGTGTTGCAACATTGATTGGGCTAGTCATTGGTATTCTAGCATTCTGCTGCGCTGTCTTGCACTACGTGATAGAGGTCAGTCCCGGTCAGGTCAGGACTTGTATCTAAGTCTTCCCTCCGCTATAAAGCACCATCTTTGTATGTATCACATTGCTTGTTGAGATTCTACTTACACTGCATTGTCCATTCAGTCCTTTTTATCACATTGCGGATCCTCGGTTTAATATGTACATCGCCCAACTGGGCATGTAACACT